ATACGCAACTTTTGAAGAAACAACCCGACAATCAACTAAAAATGTCAATTAAATGTCAACCGAAATTAACAATGAGACCCTGTTTAATCGGGCTTTAAGGACAATTCTTCTTTTGAGCAGAAGCAGTTGAGCATCTCTGCAGTGATACATACAGCTCTCCTACGAAGACAGAATCCCTCTTTTACCGGAGTCTGCAAGTTTGACCTTTTACAGAAAAGGTTAAAGATGAAGGACAGCGCTTCCTGCTTCGCTAGGTTCGCAGCATACTTAATGACCTGGTATGGGAATTCTGTCCATGACAATTTCTATGAAGCCTGAATGAGGAATTTATGTAGTGTTTATTCAGTTTACTCAATACTTTCTATAATTACCAATTCTGTCTGTGATATCAAACTGGTCCACTGAATATAGATAGCTTGAGTTTGTCAGAGGAGAAAGAATCATGCTGAGAACCCGACAATCCAAAGAGACCTTTAGAAACAAAGCAACTTGAAACTTCTCGCCCGCCTTCTGCATAATGATTATGACTCCACGAGAGAGAGAGAGAGAGAAAGGGGGTATTTTATTAGAATTTGAGCAGTTTAGAAAAGTTTTGGCTGAAATTCTACCAGCACTCTGGTCAAGACCAATTATGGATCTCAGCTTAAGTTGTGGCCAAGACGAAGAAAGAAAGTCGATATTAATATAAATTTAATACGTTAAAATCAAACATTTCACACACATCGAGCTATTACTAAAGTATGTCTGAGCTGTCAATCTGACTTCACTTCACAACGAATTGTGAAATGTACCCTTGGATACTCTAAAATTCATTTTAAAGTAACTTTCAAGTTTTTTCAAACAGCCAAAGTCTTTGAAGAAGTTTCGGCAAAACCCCAAATTACATTCAGTGACATGTGAATGACATTAATCTGCTCGTTACTCTTTATTGCATTAAAACTTGCATGGACAATTCAAGCTGTATAATAGATGAAAAACTGGAGAAAACTCAACATAAATGCCGGTGTTTGGGATTGCTGGAGAACCATGAAAGTCTCTCTGTAGTGTTTATGGAACAATTTTGATGCTGTATTATAAACCATTGATGCTTATAAGTTGTCCTGTGTGGGCAGTAGCTTTTAACTTATGGGTATATAGGTACATAAGAGTTTGGCATTAGACGCCTCCTTTGAGGGACTGTTTCAGAGGCATCAGAGTTGGCCAGCTGGTGTGTAAGCTGCCAGCTGAAACCTGTCACTAAAAAGTTGACCCAGTCATACCACCACAACAACAGCATCTCAGGGCTGGAATACAGCAGTTAGCGCAGTAGTGTTAATGAGTTTTGGTGAAAACGTTTTTGTTTCCCTTGTAATCTTCAGTTTGCAAACACACAGGCTTCCCCCAGGTATTTTTCCTGTGGAACAGCAAAGAATTCCTGGGTAATACCGGGATCTATATTGAGCATCAACACTGAACTCTGCACAGCATGTGAAGGTGAAGAGCTTTGCATTGTAAGAGCAACAGAATTAATCTGGAAAAAATGTGTGCACCTTACTGAAAATGCAACATGTCTTATAGTTGCATTGCACTGTGGTCATTGGAGAAATTAGTGTTTTCCATCCAATGTAGCACAAAATATAACCGAATTTCCCCAATATTAGCAGAAACAAAAAAGCGAAGTCATGCATGTTTCCATCCACAACGATTCTGCACATTTCAGGGTTTTCATGTAGTATTTTGAGTCTCCTCTGGTCCACACTGATCTGATGTCTCCCTAGTTGAGCGAAAGCTTCAGTAGAAAGTTTCATTCACATGTACATCATGATCACATTTAGCTTTTATTGATACACCAAATTGTTGCTACTCAAATTTCCCACTCAGGTTTTAGAGGCAAAATTTTAAAATATGCAAACCAAACCACAGAAAAAGGTGGATGGATGGAAATGCACTTACTAAGGCAGATACATAATATAAGTAATATACAGTATCCAGATGCATATAGTGTGTAATACTCAAAGAATTAATGGTCAAATATCACCTTGTGCTATGTAATGCATAGCATGATACATATGGCTACCAGTCATATTGAGGAAACATCTTAGATCCATACTCTGGAGATATAAAAGTAGTCCTGGACTGACATCTGAAAATGTTTGGATCAGTGAGTATCCAGCATGGATTTCTTCTTTCTTCATTTCTTGCCTCTGGTGCTCCTAAGCCCTCTCTATCGCTCGCTACTTGCCTTCTATCTAAATAAAGAATACAACTACTAATAATATAGTTTCTTGGTTTGTTAAATAGGTTTGAGACCCAGGACTACATCCCTGGCAACCTACCAGAAATAATGAAAGCATGTGGACAGCACACTGCGCCAGTATTCGCAGTATTAAACAGCACAACACACTCAATTTAAGTGTGTCGTGTGTTTGTAATTGACTCCAGCAAGCATGTGTATTCCCGCTGGTGCAATGACAGTGAGAGATCCTTATTGCAGTTCAATAACTCAATGTTTCTGTCAATTAGAGCTTTTACTCTTTTGAAAATGAAGGGCTAACGAGCTGAGCTCAACCATCCATTTCAGGAGTTTTCATATTCTTTATATATATATATAATATAATATAATATTTTGCACAGAAAGCAGAAAGAATCCTCTGTCCATCAGAAGTATCAGCCATCATCAATTATTCACGGTAGAGCTGGACAGCTGACTTTAGATTCATGCGGTGAGTTTCAATTTAAGGAGACATGTTTCTGTCCATTGCAACACATCACTGTTGTAGAGATCTGCAGAGTGTTTCAAAGTGTTTCAGTATTTGTTTGTCATTGTATGCTACGTAGTTTCTCAATGCTTGGTCAAATTAAACCAAAGTTCATTCAAATTTTGAGAGACTCTTACCCTCACAGAACCCTCACTGTTTTGGAGATACTTGGATGCTTACATATAGATCAATTTTGTAAATCAGCACTCCTACACCAAAACAAATGTACCAGTACTGTATAATGAATGACCCAGTGCGCCGTTCACACTGAACATACATCAGATCTAAATGGATTTGATCAGTTTAAAATGTGTCGAGTTGCATGAGAGCAGCGCCGTCTCATTATATTCAGACACTGATCAAAGCTAAATCGAGCCCGTCAGCAAGGTTACGTAAACAAACCTATGAATCAAAGGATTGCTGGAGGAACAGGTAAAAAAAAAAATCTGTACAGGGTGCTATCATACTGAATATGACTGTTGTTGCAAAGGAAGAAAAGAGGGAAGGAAAAATTATAACTGCAGTTTGTTAGTTTACTAGGCCCCCCTTGAAAGATGGAACATTTTGAAAGATACATGAGCATCAATGAAATGGTAAATAATGAAGTTGGTCTGACCATAAGTGACAACAGCACTTGACAAATACAAATTATTTTTAGTGTTATCATACCTTCATTGAATACTAATTGTTCTGCCTTTGGCTGTCTTACACTCTTTGCTAAAAAATGTCATCAGTATTTAATAAACTTTTTTTGCTGTCAGAGGCAACTGAAATACCTTTCCAAGGAATTGCTGTCTTGAGGAATAACCACCCTTAAAATGTTGCAAGTTTAAACAATAAATGAAACAAGATTTCAGAATGACTGTGTAGCCTATTGGAGGCAAAAACCTAAACATTAAAGCTGCGTAACTGATCTTTTCAGTGACAGGGTGCAGCAGATTGAGTTAAAAACAAAACATTGGCATAGACGAGAGCAGGCATAGGCCACTTTCCTGTCTTCAGAACAACCACATGCCTCATTTCGGGTGAAATAAGTGCTGTGAAAGTGCCTAGTTGCATCATTTTTAATAGCTGCCGCGTCGCATTTTGCACAACAAACAATAAAAAGAAAAAATCTGATTTCCTTTACCTCCCCAAAGAGCGAAGGACAGTAAAAGAAGAGATCTGTGGCTTCAGGCCATTCGCAGAGAGGATACAAAATGTAAAACTGTGGGTCAATATGTGTACACCTGTGTCAAACACTTCTGTACAGCTTAGTTTACAATGTTACTGAGTGAAAAAATATGGTCCTACCGTAAAACACCCACTTTTAGAATGGATTGCCTTGCGTGATGCAAAAGCAACTTTTAACAAGGAAAAACTGGAAGAAAGCTCCTGAAGAGCCACAGAGGAGGGATCCCTCTCCACCATGTCCAACTCCTAGTCACTAACTTGGTCTTTCTGCTCTTTGGTGTTGCAGAGTACAGAATATTTATGGCTTTTTTCTGTTGTAAATATGTAAATGCTAATGAGATTGACGTTTGCAAACCAGAAAATCAAAACAATAAGCTAAAAGATGCTAAAATGCAACGTAGAGCTGAGAGGAAGTGCAGAATCATGTGATAATTCTCTGTGGGTTTGTCACTACAAGCAACACAAGTCAAAGCACACAGCCATTCAATAGATTTTGATATAAAATATTGATTAGTGCAGCTTCACAGCTCTACAGTGCGGTTAGTGATAAAGCTCAACAACTGAATAATCAGTCGTCGTGATGGATAACAAAACTACAAGACGGTCCAGGTTTTGACCAATTATCCTTAACACTCCACGGTTGAGAGCAGTCCAATTAAAGAAACATGTGCAGCTCTGTCTCCAATTTCTGTTTCACTTTCCAGCTACAGTCGGATTAGAAGCCTGGCTCACTATTAGGCTAAGTTCTGACATGATTAACATAAAAGAAAAGAGCGGTAAGGGACAGTAATGCTTGTGCGATGACCTACAGTGCACTGGAGCGTGCCGCTTTGACGCTAACTACTACACTAGTTAAGAATGGAAGAATATAAGCCCAAATTAATCCATTTCTAAATCCGACAGTAAAATTGTTCATCCCAACAATTTGAATTAAATTCCATCCTGAGTATATTTCTCTCTTTGTGGTCCTTTTTTTTAAAAGTTAGTAACCTTTAGAAGTGGAGCACTTCTCATGTAAAATTCAAACAGCCTTGAAGCAGGGTGGGTCTGTCAGTGTCTGTTTGTGTCCGTTGCGCCATGTGTTCCTACCTGGGAGACAGGAATCGCGGACATTTTGACACGTTGTTGAAACAGCACGCTCAGTATGCGGTTTTGCTGCTCCAAGTCAAACACACGGGTCCGCAGCTTCACACATTCCTCTTTCAAGTCCTAGAAACCCCCCGAAAGAGCAGAGAAATGGACAGATAACTGGGATATTTCAGAGAAATACACACGTATCAGATGCTAAGTTAACAGCAACAGGACAAAATGCTGTATTCATGCAAGATAAACAGAAACGTGCTCTAAAACCTGGACTAAACTAATGTTGAAAACCGACCTTTTGCTGGTGAATTCTCACATTACAACAGCGATTTCTGTTAAGGGTGGGAAGTAAATACATATATCTATGAAATCACTGTAGTAAGTAGATTTGAAGTGCTTGTCTACTTTGCTCATTTAAGTTATGTAAATGACAGTACAGAAATATAATCCTCGTCACACCATTGGTATCAAAATTAGGACTACAGTTTTCCTGTTTTATTTCGCCTATTGTGGGTGTCGATGTAAACTTGTCTTTTTCTTTAATTTTGTGCAATTTTGATTACTTCTTTAAACTTGGCACAAAACAGAAAACTCTCTGAGGTATACCAGCAGATTCTTTGTAGAAACTAAACCTGTGGTTCATGATGAGGATTGGCATAGACAGAAGGAGATTAGACGATTATACAGTCATAAATTCTTGCCATGACTCGGCCAAGAGACATGACGGACTACACGTTGTTCTCATTTTCGTTCCCGATGCCCTGTGTCTGTTTATAATCAGCCTGATGTCATGTAGTCTGAAACATTCTACTGACACAGAATTACATTGTAAATGTAATGATGTTGGTATCTTATTAACCAGAGCAGAGTTTTTACAGTAAAGTGCTAAACTGAGTCTGTCTACTGGTCTGACAAAAACACCTGCTTATGCAACGTGACTGATCCAGTATATCTGTATTATAGGAAAATCAATAAATTGATACACATTTTTTATATTTGGAAATCAACTGAAGTCAATATTATTTAACGTATTTTTTAAAATCTTTTTATTAAGTCTAAATTAATCACATATATGACTGCAGTCTGACTCAAGTCCAAGTCTGATGACTATAACTTGTATGAAAGAGAAGGAATTGATATGGTAATGATGGATGTTTATTATATGGAAGCTAAATTGCCGTTTTTCATAGCAGCAACACTTATTTAATGTAATTCTCACATGTTTGTACCAACAAAAGAACCCCAAAGAACTTGAGGTTTTCTATCACTTTTAAGGATCATGAAGCAACACGCAGTTACTCATCACTGTGACAGTCGTCATTTCTCTGACTGATTCTATTGGCTGACGCGATTAATGACGCTTCAATACTGCAGAGACAAAGACAAACCTTCTGTGTGAGGAGGGCCTGGACCACCTGGTTCGCCACCTTGACGAGACAATGAAGTGAAAGAAGAAAAGAAAGTAAAAACTTTGTTTAAAATGCATGATGAGGCTGGTCATTATTTTTGAGTGGACTCTCTGTGGAGCTTTGAGATGCTGAGAGACGGTAAATGAAAATGACCAAGTGCAAACACCATCAGAGAGAATCTGAAGGCATGTAAGATGTGCTTTAAGGACAAATTGACAGTGTGTTGCATCACAGACTCTGATTTAGTGAAATCATGCCTGCAGTTAGTATAGCTAACTTTATTCTCAGCACATAGATAAACCAAAATATAGTCCTAAAACTCCAAACAAATGTCTCTTTTTAAGAGAATGTTTCTTTATGTCCCTACAGAGTTTATTTGCTCGCCTTAATGTCTTTTTCTACTCTGTATAAATTCTTACAGAAAGCAGAAAAAGTTTTTGTTCAGTTTTTATTGTGAATATAAAACAGCATCATCTGCGAAGCCTTCTTTTCCTGCTTATTTTCACTTCTGAAGCGGAAGCATACATTATACCTTGACACTAGAATAATAACTACGTTTCCACTTTTGTGTGCCGCAAAATGATTTCCCTCCACCTCTTTCATCTTTCTATCAAAACGACTCGCCTCAGCTCATTCAGACCATGACAGGAAGCCTCCTGAATACCCCCCGCCCCCCGCCCCAAGAAAGATTAATGTGCATAATAAGACTGAAAAGCAGAAGAAGTGGAATGAATCCCACAGCAGAAACTCTGACATTTTCTGTCCTCAACCAGAATATGTTAAATTCTCATGGGCAGAAAATCTCCATGGTAACAAGCCCATTAGTGAAGCCTGCTAAAAAATAAAGTGGAGCAGTCTTGCTGGCTGGAGAGAGATGAAGGGAAGGTGTGGAAAGAGACGGAGAGACAATCAGAGTGTTTCAGGGAGAAAAGAAACGAGGGAAGGAGTGCAGGTAGACCACGTGCAGGAGCTGGGAGTCGGTCCTCCTGAGCGGTGAGGCTCACTCCTCCAGCTCTCATTCTCACATCGCCCAGGGCTCCCATGTCTGTCTGCTGCAATTAGTGAAGTCTATAGAGGAAAGCCAAGAGAAGGTACCATCCCTAACACTATAGATACAAGTCTGAGTGTCTCTGAGCTACAGAAGCCGATAGTCCTGTCCACCAGATAACTTTGACTGGCCTTAAGTTAAAAGTGAAAGGGTCTAAAATGAAAAGAAAAATCCATCTGCCAGAACCTCTAAAGCTCTAAAACTCAAATTAACATGTAGAAATCAAACAACCAAGCTACAACAAAAGTCAAACAAGTAGTCCAGCACATAATCTGTCATAAAAACCAGAACTTTTTTTTACAGTGTGAATAAACAAATGAGACAAAAAATGTACAAAAACAAAGAAAAAAACTAAACTAGGCTAATGCAACAACAACGCTGCAGTGCTCGCTTATGCCACTCGACAACAGCTGCTCAATGCAGCACGAGACCCATATAGTTTGTACATTTTTTGACACTACTGAATTTGGTGCTGGATTTCATGAGTTTTCAAGCATGTTGTGGCTGCCAAAAAAGCAATTATTTTGGCAGACAAATTATAATTTATTGCATTTCCATAGGGCTTAACAGCAGTTGCTGCTTAGGTGTTCTGTATGAAACTTCAACATTAAAAGCAGTTAAGGTACACGCTGTGCTTTACATGACAGGACATGTTTGATGTTGAAAGTGCTGAGAGAACAGGAACACTCACCTCATCCAGACAGCGCTCATATTGCTTCCTCTGATTGTCATTTTCCATTGACAGAGCAGAGTTCTCCGCCTGAACAAACAAAACACAGACAGACAAACTGCATGAATTACAGTAATTACTTCTGAAAGACGGGGAAAGAGATGCAGAGATGGCTCAAAGGGGCCCTCTCCCTGCAGCACTGTAGGGTTTGAAGGTTCACTGGAGAACGAAGACTTCTAAATGAAAGATGCTTTAAATTTCCGGCATTCGAGGTGTCTGTAAGGCTCACTTGAAGTATCCCTGGCATAATTCAATTACGGACAGGGGTTCTTTTTTTGCAAGGCAGGAAACACAAACCATTCTGGGAACTCAGGAGGTGACTTTCCACTGAAATGATTAATCCAGTAAATCTTAAAGGCCAGGCTACCTGTGATGGCTGGTTTTCACTTAAGTGCTGTGGGCAACTCCTTTGAACACAGAACATCCCAGAAATGGCTGATAATCACAGGAGTGAGCAGAGTTCAAAGCCAACAATGTCTTCAAACTAACCCAAGATGATAGCCAAGGATAATCACCACAGTATTTCAACCTTTTTCAATGACTGGCTGCTGAAATGATACTGATTAATATCCTGAAAATTAAACAATAAACGACGCAAGTGTATGGATTGTTCTGACTCTGTCCTAAAACTCCTTCCTAAGAAAAGACAGTGTTTCAAAGGCCACATATCAGCCTGAAGGCTTGCAGTCTGTGTGCGGAAAGGTCAGGGAAGTCCAAGTTATGAGTCTGAACTTTAAGCGTTTGAGCCTTTTTATATAGTATGTGTTATGTGAGCTCACACTTATGTAAGTTATGTGACAGTACAGTACAAATTAGTTTGATTGATTAACATGTGAAACAGCAGATGGCAATTAAAACAAATGTGCTAATAAATATTGTATTCAGGCTTAAAAGCTGAATTTAGAAAAATGAAAAAGCTGTTTTTGCATCTGGATAATGTATTGTGTATTATTGAATAGATAGCCAACCTACTGTATTTCAACTATTTAGAAGAGGAAATAGAACTTTATAGTGACATATACAATAATACACAGTACAATGTATGGTGAAATTTGTCCTCTGCATTTAACCCACCCTAATACCCCATAACCATAGCTCATACCTTCTAATAATAATGCTTAAATGGTGAAATAGATATCTTAAAGTAATTGATTATTAGCTTAACTAATGGATAAGAAGATGGTGATGAAGCTAGAAGTAGTGGATAAATTGTTCAAGTAGCCAAAAGTAATGGATAAATGCTTTAAATTTTTAAATAGTTGGCTAAGAGTATTAGAAAAATGCAATTAAAACAAAGATCAGTTTTTAATATGTTGATAAATATTGTATTCAGGCTTGAAATCTTAATTTAGAATAACGAAAGTGAGATGTTTTGGCATCTGCATAATGTATTACATCTGCAAAATGATCCTTAATGTAAATATAAATCACTTGCAAAGATGTAAATGTTTGGCAGCGTGCTTACCTCCCTGCTCCCTCATCCGTGTTTGTGCGCAGTTAACATGGTTGATCTGCGGCGAGCATCGAATCAATCAGTGGTTTAGGCTTAACTGTCAAATTCCACTGAATATTAGTGTTTGGTTGAGGAGCTGAGAGAAGTCAGCGACTTCTCCTCAGTCAAAGAGCACAGAAAGTTTATTTTTTATGATTCTTAGAGCATTTTTAGTTTATTTAATTGTTTTCATTTTTCATGGTAGGTTGTATGAAAGGTACCCAAGTGTGCCCTAATGACTGGAAAGCAGTTTCCAACTAAATGGAAAATCTTGTAATGTTTCTCCAGTTCAGCGTTAAAGTTTAATTACAAATGTGGATAGAATAAAGGCAGCCACCATGAAGAGGCAACGGCATAAAAGCCACAAAATACACTCAGAGTTATCCATTAGGGTCAAACACTTAGAAAAGAAAATTGATGTAATTTAAGGCAGCACATTATTTTAAAAGATCATCACTAATGACAGTGGTTATGCAGGCTTTCTTAAGTACTAGACAGTAGTATTACCACATAAAATAAAATATTACTGAAATTATGTCCAATCATGTCCAATAATTCAGCTCGCATTCATGCTGGTAATTACTTCAACGTGCACACAATTAATCTTACGTTACCAGGATGCAGGATGCGACATTAAAGCTCAGCAGTTCATGCACCAAGATCCTGCATGTGATGATTTACTTAAATACTGAACACCTCCCAGTGTATTTGCTATTTGGTCAGTTCAAGTTGAATCCCTTGCTCAGTACCAGGGGCTAGTTCAGACTTTTTCGACTGGGGTGGCACAAGAGCGGCACTGACTTATGCAGGGGTGGCATAAAGTATGTGTCTCAGCTTTCTAGTCATTCCAATACTTTTTATGGACCCCAGTACGCAGAAGTATTCATAATCCGGGTTACTCATCAATTTGTTTGTGGGTTATACTCTGTTGTACAATGTTTGTGTTTGTGCAATTTAAAATTCTTAAAATTGACATTTTTGTCTGTATGTGCTCAGGTTTTAAACTCTCCAGTATATCTTCATATAAATCAACAGAGGAGGGAGTCTGTCAGGAATATAAGTACCAGGGGACACTGAGTGAAATGTAAAATACAAGTGAAACATGAATTAGCTATTATAAGTTCATGTTTGCAATGGACCCACGGATGCACAGATAACTGTCACTGGATTACTTTGATACTGAAGGAAACTTAAAACCATAATGATTCTCAGGCAAGTTCTGGAGTTACAGGACCATCTTTTTTTCTAGTTTTGTAAGCAGATTTATGGACATTTATTTATTTATTTATTTATTTATATATATATATGATGGTGTTTTGGTGCAAGGCTTCATGAAATTTCCATGTATTTCATTTAGTTGTCCAGTATTCAGTCTAAATTGCTGACTACTAACCTACTGACATGAATAATACACAACAAATGAATATGTTTTATCAACCAACTGGAAGCATGTTGACAGACAAGGAAACAGCACAGTACTTAACTCAGTGATTCTTCATTGTTAATGCAGACATGTAATGTTTGAGCCATTGCAGCCCCAACATCTCCAGAGATCAGCAGTAAGTTGTGACATTCAATAACCATCCCTGCTCACATCTGCTCTCACCTCACACCACCTACAGTAACACCAGTACCAACAATAATTCAAACTTTTTTCTGGGTTTACGTCACTCCCAGTGAGCCAAAAATTAGTTTTTTATAGCAAATTAATCACATTCTGGTTTCACTTTGTACAAGTGTGATTACGAAAAAGTAAAGCACAATTGTCATTATTAATCATATATTTTCTTTATTAAATAAATGAGATGATAAAAGTAGTCTACATTAGTAATTCCCAACCACTTGTACCTCAGGGGGTACTTCTACAGTTGCCAACGGGGTATTTGGAAAGATTGAAGAGAAGCTCAACTAATTTGTGTGTATATACCAACTTACTGAGTCTGCTGTAACACCTGAACATTAACGTTACAGAAGTGAATAAATGGTTGATTTGGATAGCTAACTTATTGTATTTCAACTATTCATCCATAACTTCTAATAGTAATGCTTAAATGGTTAAATAGAGAGCGAAAAATAATTGAAAAATAGCTTAACGTAATGGATTAACAGTTAAAATAGTTAAAAAGTATAGTTAAAAATGATTGAAAACCTTAAATAGTTAGCTAAAAGTATTTGAATCATGAAAGACATGCTTTAGGTTAATGGCTTTGTTTTTGGGTTTTTTTGTCTTTATTCTCTCTTGTCTATATCTTGCCAACATATTTATTATTTCTTGCTTTTTTATTCATTGAAATAAATGGTAAACTGACCTTAAAATGTACAGTTCAGCTGTAAAAAGTTTAAAATAAATTCAGATGAACACATTTAGAACTCTCAAATTGAAACAAATCTTCGGTCTTTGATAAGATATAAGGTAAGTCTAAGGGATGATCTGTGATAAGATTTTGTTGATCCATAACTGAAACCTCTGAACAGAAGAGTTATTCTTATACATTCTCTCATTCTGTTAACCTCAAGTCAGTGAAATAATAGTGAAATTAAAATATTCTCAATTTTTCTGGGGACCCTCAGAAACCCCCTCAAGGACACCCCAGGTTGAGAACCACTACTTTCGTTCATCTGACAGGGCTGTGGGGGTAGAACCACTGGTGTACAGTAAAAACATGACAAAAATCACACTGCATCCTATGAAACAAAACACGCAGAGCAGAATTAGTGAATTCTGTCTTTAGGTAGATTTTACCTTTAGGCTAGGCTTTGCTCTGTAGCAGTGTGATCATTATGGCTGTCTGAGACCTCTCAACAGATGGTAAGTCCTATTACCTTTTCAGTGGGGAAGGTGTGACAGAGAGGCGTACTGTACGTTCACTGGAACACTGATGTTAACTACCCTGTCAGCATTTTAATTATCACCTCCTGGATATGAATAACTCCTTCGTCTTTTGCTGTGTTTTTTTTCTTGCCCCTCGGACTTCTGTTCAGCGTAATGGTGTCTCATTTTCTGTAATATTCAAAGACGGATAGAGGCATGATGAAACACTGATTGTACTAGTTTATGTCTCACTTGTATTTTCAAATGAATGCAGGCAGACTACACAGTAACTGACAGGTTTCGTGTTGCAGTGTTCTTATGTGATTCATTACGTATTTACCTTAGGCAGTTGTTGAATTATTTTTATTTATAATGATTTCCCTAATTATTTGAAATGGCCTAGCCCTCAGCTAGCAATGTCCACCACGCTACCCAGTCTGACTCCACAAAAATAGCAATTTAATGCCGTAGCAAGGGGTCTACAGCATGTGTGTCGTATTATGACGTCACCCATCACGGAGGTGATGTACTGCAAGTTGGGCGGCTCGACTGGTCACACATGATCTCTTATTACAGCTTAACAGTACACTAAAATATGTTTCTGATACAGCAACAGAATCTGGATTCGTATCTGATCAGCACTGCCTGGTTTGACAGTTTGATCTGAGTTTGGTGTATTGAGTTGGACAGACTCACTGAGAATGAGCTGTCAATCACAAGGTAGCCACACCCTAAAGCATACCCTGTTTTATCATCTTTTTTACTCTAAATGGGACCATCATTTACTAAATGAACATCATGCTGTATGGAGGAAGACTGAAACTAGAGACTGAGACCATAAACTCATTAGGAAACAGTTTACTGAGCTAATAAATCAAGTGAGAAGTCGGCTCATTTCTCCATAAGACTGCATGCGATCGTTTTTTATTGTAGCCAGTGGAGCTGCCCCCTGCTGGCCATTACATATAATGCAGGTTTAAGACACTTCTGCGTTGGCTGAGGGCCAGAAAGTAAAAAAAAAATACGATTTGAGCGGGCCAAATACTTCTAGCAGAGGGCCAGATTTGGATCAAAGGCCACAAATTGCTGACCTGTGCTATAGCGAAATTGAGGAAAAAAAGCAACTCTGACTGTTACGCAGATCGATAAACTAATTATCAAAGGAGCGTACTACAGTTATGCTTTTAACAAGCCGACCTACCCCATGATCCTTCCTAAATAAGAAAGAAACAAAAACCTGCAGTGATCAACCCATCATGTACAATAATATTCAGCCCCTGTGTGCTGTCCTTGAGCTTACTTAACTCCAAGTCTATATAGATATCAAGCGAAATACATTTAATCAAATAAAACATGCTCTCAATATATCGATCAGTCATACATTTCAGCGATGAAAGGAAAGGACACAGGGATCTGGAACAGTGGTGGGGAAATGGGGAACAGTTGGGGGAAGGGTAAGAAGTGGACCATGCAATCCACTTTACCTCCAGGGCTCTGAGTCGCTCTAGCAGGGGATTGCTGTCCTTTGAATTTTCCTCCGACCCTCCGCCGGCCTCAGGCGACACAGGCATCTGTGCTGCGGTGGTTGTTGGACCCTCCAGACTATCCTGCTGCTTCCACATTTCCTCCAGCAGTTTGTCCTGAAACGCAGAGAGAGAGAGTGGATCAAAAACGCCTTAAAGTCACAAAGAAATGAAAAATAAATTCTCCTTATCATAGTGGGCTCCAGTTTTAATAGCAATAAATCTTAACACATTAGTACTGCATAAATAAAACTTCCACTGTCTCACTTCAAATATTAATGAACCCATACTGTTATTACTAACACTGAATCAAATGACCCCTTAATGTGCCAGCAAGTGTGACTTTTTAAAGTAACGTGACTTTTGCAGATGGTAGCCTTATCACTTTGGTTCACGGATCTCGATTTAATGAACCAAAAGAGAAACTTTAGCAGCTGTGGATAACAAATACTGTAAGAATGACTCATATTTCTTTATAGATAAAGGCAGACCACTTAATGCTGTAAGATGCCTATCTATTGGTTGAAATATGATAAACTAACAAGTTATATTTACATTTGAAGCATTATTCAGTTTGTTCTTGTTGATAAAATCACCAAAGTGGCACCTGCACAAGGATCAGATGGTGCAAAGTCTATCCTTTTTCTAAAGTTAGTTAACCTTTATTGATCCCTGTAGAGAAATTCATTTTCTGCATTTGAGCCAATCCTAATAGGAGCCACCATGCGGCACCCGGGGACCAACTCCAGATCTGAGCCAGTGCCTTGGTCAAGGGAACTGACCTAACCTTAACCTACATTTTCTACATTAGATTTTCCACTGAAACACCGACAAATAGCGCATTGCCTCATTGGAATGAACTGGAACTGTTTTGCCACTCATCCCACCCAACAATGGCACCAAAATCCCACAGAGTTGGACAAAGTGAATTTTAAGGTAAAAACTAGGCCTGCCCCCTAATAATTGACTTAACCGTTAGTCGATGAGAAGAGTCTTGGTCGATGCACTATTAGCTGACTGTACCGGGCTGGGAGCTCGAAGGACGGGGGGAGTTTAAACACTACTATCGTAGGAGCGGGGGAATACTGCCATACTGATGTTATACTGTTTAAATAAATGAACTAAATGTTCAGTCTCCTTACTGTTTGTCCTAACATGTTCTGATTCATTACCACTTTTTCTGTACAGGCGGCTGTTCATATATATATATATTTAAATAACTCAGATAAAGCCGACTAGTCGTTGCATGTTTATGATATTAACTCACGACTACCAGGAAAATCTTTAGTCGGGGGCCCTACTTAAAACCAGTCAGTCAGAGCTAAAGTCCTGCAGCTTTCCTTTTACAGGCAGAGTTCTAATGTGAACAAACATCAGGAGGTGAACATCAACAGATCGATCAGCAGTGCGGCAAAGAAGAATTTAATCTGAGTATAAAAACATTACTTCTGTTAAACAGAGAGAATCAGAGCAGCAGGGTGACAATGTCTTTGTTGGAATTTTTATTTGAATACCAGCTTTTGAAATTTTATATGACGATTTAAGTGTAAGTGTCTTCTAAAATGACCAATATGACAACAAGGGTTGATCCACCCCTTTTATAATTCAGTTCTGGTAAAGTATAGACAACTAAAACTACACGGACTGTTGTTAGGAGGACACAAGCTGCTATGTCCAGACTCAAAGTCATACTATGCTTTGTATAGAACAATATCACTCTACTTCTGTCTTTGCTTGTTAAGAGATTTTCACAGCTGCGAGGGGTCAAGCTCAGACAAGCTCGGTGTGCACTTCCTGCCCAGTGTGAAATGTCAGAGAGACAAAGTTAATAAGTGGCTGGTGAAGAGAGTGGAACATTTAACATTTAACAAACCAAAAACAGACAAATGTTGGACTTTCCTTCAACAGGTGGCCAGAAAAAGGACTCCAGCAGGATGCTTGTGCTGTTCTGTGTCTGCTCGGTTCAACTGTTAAGTGCAGGAGTATGAAAGGGGTTCATGAGATGAGGCACACGCTTTATAAAGCTGGATGTTTTTACTGACAGAGAGCAGCAGCATTAAGGCAAAAGCTTGTAGTGGTATAGAGCTCTGTGGGAGGGGGTCAGATCTGAAAGTCATGTTCATTTAAAAGAGGAATCTACTACCATCACTTTATTTTAGTTTATTTTTTCCTTCCGTCCTCTACCCTACCTCACTTCCTCTCCTGTCATTTCCTCATCACAGATTGGCGATTACTTTTCACTGGTGAAAAGTAGTAGTACTACTCTACAAATGTACACAGAAGGCCTATATCTCAGCATTTTGTTCATTTCTGTAAAGAGAATTAAATAAAATCGTTATTTTTAATGTTTAATGTTTTTTATTAAGATGAGGGTGCGGACTACAGGGGAGCAGGGGGAGCTTGGCTCATCTTAATAAGACATGAGCTCCCATGAAAACATGATTTGTAAAATCTTGAGGGGTCTCAATCTATGATTGACAATATGCTATTTTTGCCCTGCATTTCTATTTTTCTGTGTCTTCATCGTCATGGATTATGAGTAAATTTAGGCTACTTTCAATGTATGATTTATGCTGTTATTAAATCACTTTAATAAAGATACTTCTGTTCACTATTGAAGCTGCACAATATCATTAACTTCTCATACACTTCTTTAATCTACTCAAAGTGAGCTCCCCTACAAGCCATGGTATTCACACACACTGAATATAGCTGTGTTAAGGTTTTCAATGTTTAGGTCTTAATCAGAGTATTCATTCTCTGATAAACAGCCTCGCCCTGCATCAGAAAAATATGAAGTTAAAACTCATAATACAGACCTTAAAATATCAGGCAAACTCATTTCTGATAAATAGTCACAGGAAATAATCTGCTCGTTTTATACAAACCTCAGTAATAACCATAAAATCTGTCACTTAGTCAGGGGTTGTCAGTTCACTCAATGATAGAAAAGGGGTTCCTCCACTAGACAGTGTATGAAATATTATTTGCAAGATTTGATCTACTCATCCCTCTCCTACACACCTATCTCATGCAATCGATGTGTTAAGTTTTTGTCTGTTTTGAGTATAAAATTGGCAAAAAATAAATGTGCATAATCCTGTGCAAAAATATTATGGGAAACTCAAACTAGACACAGAAATAAATGGACTCTGTATTGCACCAGTATTTTTGCTTAAGTAGATATTCAACATAACCAGCATGTATTGTTTAGATGCATAAAGCTCAGTGGACATGGAGGATGAGAGTCCTTCAGGTTTTGCTCCTAATGCAGGCAGATAATCACAATCAGCTGCATGGAGGTACTTGTATGCTCTAATGTCTGATGCTGTAGACTGCACTTTCATAAAGAGCGTAATATAATGTAAAGATTGAGCATATTGTGCTTTTATACTGTGGAACATGGTTCATTTCTATTCTATATTTTGGGCATGAGTTGTTTTCTAAATGAATACTCAATGTGGTGATAGTCAGTATTATACATGTGTTCTAATATTTCCTTTTCTCTGACTGGAGCTTCATTCTTGTTTGCATGAGATTAGCTGCTGAGATGTTTGTCTGGTGTTTACCGGCCTGTAATGTAATGTTCAATTATTTAGCACTTTGCATTAATGATTAGTGTAGAAATGCCGAAACCAAACATTAAAAAGCCTTGATTAAAAAAAAAGGGGAAGATGGATGGCAGCATGAAAAGGATAGGAGACAGATAAGATTGAGTTACATAAGACCCCTAACTAATTAGTATTATGAATTATGTGCCTTGTTTGCATTTGGTATACGGTTCATTAGTTCTTTTCCACATTCATCCACACTAACACAAATAATAAACTACATCAAAGCTGGTGTGTGACTTGCATGTGGCCCAGGACAATTATCTGTCCTCGCAGTCACATTGTGGGGACTGCATTACCATCTGGGGACACAAAGCAGGTCCCCACACGGTAAATTAGAGGGTTAACAATTTGTGGGTAAGAATACATTTTAAAACTATTAATATATATATATATATATATATATATATATATATATATATATATATATATATATATATTAAAAAAAACCTCAAGAAAGCCCTTTTAGTGTATCCATTTCATTCCCTACCCTACACACTTTCATGGATGAATATTAAGATGCATGAAACCATGTAGAGCGTCTCCAGACAATCCCTCCTCATAATTTCTTAGAAACACTTTACAACCCACACGGAGAAACATAATCCTGCCACTTATATCAAAATCCTGACAGAGCATATTATAAACCTGACTCAAAACATGAAGCAGCCATCTGAAAAAGCACTTAAATCAGTTTCAAGGTGAGATCAATACTATATCTAATGGTAAATCATCCGCAGGGTTTTCTAAAGTGTTGTATCTGCAATTTGGTTGATGAAAAGTGAAAATAATCAATTGCTCACATATTTTCTTCTTATCACAGTTCTGTATTACATTAGTGCAAAAAAAGTGCTTAAACTATCATAACTTTTTCACAGCAACAACAACAATTCACATCATCTAATGTAAACATATCTAGTAGTGCAAGGAGGGCCCTCTTGTACCTTGTAGGCTTTCATGAGGTCCAGTGGATCCACCTTGGGCCCTTCCAGTGAGTCCTGGTTCTGTAGTAGCGTTCGCACCGTCTCCTCCATGCTGCGTTCAAGAAATAAAAACAACAGGAAAACCAGTCAGAGTTCCCACTGGATGAGACTTAATGATCTACAAAACTTAATATAAAGAGGTGAAGTCCTTCCCCTTCACCTGGACCACCATGGAAGCTTATTATGGAAAACACATGATGGCGAGAGACAATTCATTTTTTTGAACCAGTTTGAATTTTCACATTAATTACACATATGATGTTTAAAAGATAATTCTGTGAGTCAAGAAAGTTGCTATTTGTTGATTTAAGTTGAAGTAAAACCCCTTCAGACAAGTCCAATTTTTGGACCTTGGTATTTCTAAAATCCTGTGTACAGCAGTGCTGTTGAGGTACTCCTGAACACCTACATAACAGCATCTCTATGGAAACACATAGCTACTTTAACGCTAAAGCAGCACTGAAAATATACTTTTTAAAAAGGCTAAAAAATGCCAAAAGAATTAGGGTTAGGGTTATGTTGTGTTTAGGCATAGGGTTGTGCTTGGTCCAATTCAGGCACTGGGGAAAAAGGTCCCAGCTTAGGCACAAAAAATACTTGGTTAAGACTGGGGATGGCTGTTTGCTTTTGGTTTCACACGGGAGACAAACAGTGTTGGTGTTTGTTTTAAAATACTGGACTGTTTAGTTCTTGTTCCTGTTAGTCCACATATTAAAAGACATGTCAGTTGATGGTGGTAATACGTCTTTGTTTACATTTGGATCACTGACCAAATTTGCCTTTATGTAATAGTTTATGACAAGACAGACACTGAATGGTGAGATTAATAATGTCTGCAGTACGATGTCATTTTTCCAGCCCAGTGGATATAGTAATGAAGTTGCTAATTGGATGCAAAGGTATAGAACTGAGGGAATGTGAAGCTGATAAACCTGTTGATGGAGTCTCTCATGTTGAAGGGGCATTTCACTTCGATAGATCTCCACGCTGACAGATCATCAGATCAGATGCCCCTAAGATGAGCTGACCTACAGTGGTCAGACTTTTCCACACAATGTCCGTTGATAGCAGAAAGCAATTTAAGGGTGTTAATGATTTGAAAAACTCTGTTAACAAACTCCTCATCTACTGAATCACGAAGCAAATCTGCTGGTAAAACGTTACTTGATTAAAACAGATCATTAAAAATAGAAAACCATTTTGTTTGACAGCAGAACACAGTCCCTTTTTTTTAATCACAACTACAATAGACATAATTAAAATAAAATAAGAAAATCATTTATCTATGTGATGTAGTCTGTGTGCTGTCTTTCAAAAGTAACAGGTAGATAAACAAGGAAAAATAGAGGGCAGAAATCAGTTACTTTTCAAGAAAGAACCCCTGTGTTTTTAAACTAACTGAATACTGCGTCATCAAAGTTGGTTTAATCCTTTTTATTGGTTAAATATTTGTAAAACCAACAGACGTAAAGGGTTATATAAAATACTGACTTTAACATCAAATATAATAAATCAATGAGCAAAAGACACTTAAACGCTCCTTATAGCTGAGCTCTGTTCTGTTGTGACTTTTGTTAATATTTATTAATTAATATTTGTTATTTGACCCATTGTTACTAACTAATAGTACAGCTATATGTTTTAAATAGACTCCTGCGTTCATTGTAAAGTGCTTCACAGCCATCAAAGTTTAGTTTTCAACCTAAATTTCTTATTTTGTATTGCACAGAGCTGTTGTGTGCAAATTCAACATCCTTACCACTTCCACATATTAATAAGGCTTCAAAACACCCATAATACCGCAGCTGACATTTGTTCAAATATTCCACTGTATCCTTGCAGCCTTGCCTTGTCATTTTGTAATTGTTTTCCCTCTGAGCTGTGTATGGTTGATAGACACTGACCATGTTCTCCATAATGTTGTACGCAGTGACATTTTACCCTGTCACTTCCAGAGCAGCTTTTCCCCCAGTTTGATGCATGTGGCACAGCCATTAGCACTAGCTGCTGACTGTGAGCTCACCATTGGCATTCCCGCCCCAAGTCACTGCCACTGACCTGAAACAAACCCGGCCTGAATGAAATCAGCGGGTGGGGTGGTAGTAGGAGGGGGCGGATACTGGTCTCAAGTATTCTTTGAGTTTAAAGTCCAGAAAAAGGCAAACAGTCATTTGATGTGCGTATGAGCGGTCTAAAAGATGTCAGATGTCATCATGTGGTGCTCAGAGGATCCAGCAGGCCGTGAAATGCTGTCAGGGTTTGGGGTTCAGATCCCACCAGGTCCACCCACGCTGCAAGTGCCTGCACTTTAAGAGGTAAAAGAGTGAAGACTGGACTTTTACATTCTCAAGGTGAGAACAAACACAACTCTAACGTTGCTCTGTAACTCCACAAACTATTTTTCTTTGCCTCAAACACAGTAATCACAGTGTCTGATGATGTATTGTGTTAATATAGATTTTTTTTTCACCAATACAAATATTGTGTTCAAAAAACGTTCAAAGCAAGCTTGTATGCATCTTCTTGGAGATGCAAGATATGTTCCTCAACCGTGATGGCAGCAAAAACTGGTATATTTTTAAATGTACCTCCCCCAACTCTGGTAGCAGTTGGCGCACTACCATCGACTTACTCGTTCTTTTCCAAATAAAATTTAATAATAATAATATAAGGTTGAGGCCCACTGTGATCTTTCAGCTCATCATTCTCAGAGGAGGAGAGAGATTCCAGGAAAAAAGGTCCTTATATTACTCTCTTGTGGCGAAAACTGCCCTGAGACACTATCCATGCAAGCTAAAAGTGATGGTGATAGTGATGGTCAATGTGTCTCTGTCCCTTGTCAAAAGCTTTGAGTTTTCACCCAAAGTAGCAGGAACTTTTAGTCCCAGGAACTGGAGGAGCTAAAAGGTTCCTTCAGCCATGTTTCCACCGAGGTCTGAGCCAAATTTGTCCTCTGATGTATAAATGTATGTATGATGTATAAAAAACTACTACCTCTGTTGCATGCTTTCTTTTGATGCGTCAAAGAATAATGAAAAAAAATGGTTCGCTGCTGCAGATTGAGTGAAATAAAAAGCTTGACCAATCAGAAAGAGAGCCCCACCCCAAACTTTTGTGTAATTTATGGAAAGTAATGTCAGTTATAGTTTCAGTGTGCTTCTCCTTACCACCCAAGTTAAACCTACTGAGAAACTACAAGCATCAGATAGTGAGTACAAAGGCCAACTGTACAGCATTTACAGCATTGATAAGAGTTAACACATCTCCCTGTGTGCCCTGTAAGAATAACTATGATAAACACTCCGATAGCTAACACTATACACACTAATTTTCCTGCCTGTTTTAGTTGTTTTACAGCGTCTGAGCCTCAAAAGCATTGAGTGCAACTGTCGCAATGCAACATGGATCCTTTTTTCACATGCTGTTCCTCCTTAAAGCTTTGGCTTATCACTCTTGCTCCACCAGATTCCTATCAAAATTCATGTAATTCTCAGCAATATTTCATTCACTGCCTCCACTTTTTCCCACTCAGTCATCACTCACCCCATGCTGCTTTCCTACTGCCTCTCATCGGTGCTGGTCACTTGAAATGAGGCGAACCACACGGGTCCTCGGCTCAGAGTTACTCACTGCTCTGTGATTGGGCACTGAAGGGAAAGTGGGTCTCTTGGTCTCCCAGTGGACCATGTGGGATATAATGCGCAGCTGAGTGCTCTCAGAAAGGGGAAAAACAAGCTCCCACCGTGTCTGGCTTTACCCTAACAAGGCCTCGTACTCTCCGGGCCATCCCAGTCTCATGACTGCAGTCTGGCAGCAGAGACATCCGCGGCCTGATTCTTCCTCTTTGTTCACCCTCATTTCAGAAGTGCAGCTGAATTAACAGTGAACTCTCTTTCTCAACTAAGAAACAGGATTTGGCAAACTCAGGGTTCCCACGCGTCCTGGAAATCTGGAAAACCTGGAAATTTAGAGACTAGTTTTCCAGTCATGGAAAGACCTGGAAATTGATTAAGATGATCAGATATCCTGGAAATAATCCCTGTTTTCCTGGAAGATTTTATTTTAGACCCCCTTAAGATTATGTAAACCTGGGTACATGTGTTGTTTGAACTGCAGGATCTGACACTTCAAAGCAGGTTTACCAGACACAAAGCGGAACGGAAAAAGGCTTTTTTCATTTCAGCTCCCAGTCAGACGAGCTGTTGCACACCACTTGCAGAGAACCTTTGGTGTCAAGTCTTATTTTAGAAATGCTGTATATGGTCACATCTACATACAGTCATCAATGATCCAATTTACATTTGTTGTTGTGATTGATAATTGTTATTTTGTATGTGCAATGAACCCTTCCTTCTACTTTTAATAGAGAAATAGGTTAGAAGATGAGTTTTCTGTAAAATAAAATAATTTCTACCTGATTTGAACTGTTATTTATGCTCCACTGAGGCGTTGTTGGACAATCAGCTGTGATCAGTGAGCTAAAGCAGAGTCTCCCACATAAGACACTGACCACAGTTGTAAACAACTGCTGTCCTGTATTGTTCTGGAAAATGTCCTGGGAAAAAAAATTCTTAAAACAGTGCAAACCTGAAAATGTTGCATTGACTAATAAACTGACCTTCATGTGTAAAACTGGTGGAGTTTCCTTAAAAACGAGACGACCCATCGATTTCTAACAATCACAAAAGACGCACATGCAGTTGCTTATTCCAAACTATTACATGCTTAATTAAGCTTTTTAAGGTGGCTTTTGAATGCCTGATGTGATAGCAGCATTTCCAAATAAAGTTTATCTTGTGTATTGTTTTATTATTGCATTAACATGAAACGGCACTTTTACAGTTTAAGTCCAGAACTGACTCCAAGGACACCGAGGACTAACCTTCTAGCTGATCTTGTATGATCCAAACAGGGACGCAAATAGACATTAATGGTTTTTGCATTACTTTGAATGCCCACGATAATCTGTAGCCTATTTAATGGTTATTAACAACATTTTACACAACTTTTTAGTAGATAAGATACAGGGAAAAACCCATTTCCTGCCATAAATACCACATGTAAATCCCAGTTTATTAACATTTTTATGAACTAATGGTTTTTCATTATGCCAGCGGCCAAGGATCCCAATGCTTTTTATAAAAAAGAAAGAAACTACAGTTTATATAATATGCGCATAAATAAATACATTAATAAATACGGTACTGATTATGCATGTCAAACTAGTCTTTTTAATACTATCACTGGGTAGTAGCCAGAAATTGACAAAAATGAACAAAACTTTTAAATACATTTGAATCTTTCTGAATTTAATTTGGGGTCCATCTTTAAATCACTTTGGGACGTAACTGTGCTTTTCCTTTAAATATGAAAGATCTACCTAACATATATAATGAAACCCTATATTGTGTTCAACATACACAGTTTACATGTAGCCTATACACACAGACACCTGTGCGCCCATGCATGTGTCTACAGTATGTATATGACATTGCTTCAGTGACTGCGTATAGATATTTGTCTTAAATGGAAATGACCCCCTTCCTTCCTACCAGAGGGGTTTCTGCTGCTCTGTGACATTTCACCACAGGCTACACTTTTCAAAACAGGTCCCTCATGCACAACAATGTCTGAATGCATGGCCTAGTTCCCCCCTAAACTAGTAACGTGACCCCTTTCCCCACTTCAGTAACAACTGAACACAGCCTGGATGGGGAAGCACTTTGCCGCTATTCTCATCTTATCTCTGTTTAATTTACAGCACATTGACGTATTGAGGCGTATTTAAATATACAGACAAACAGTTTTTCATCATATACACTCTTTCAGCTGTCACTGGATCCCACTGCAGCCACTTAATAACACTGAATGTGTGGACATAGAGCACATTATTTTAACAGTCCGTGTATAAATTATCTGTAATTGTACATATTGAAAGAAAATTCTTGATTACAGTCATATATCCTTAACTATTATTGCATAACCATTCCTAGTTTTTCAAGTTAAGAGAGAATATATATTTCAGTAATGAATGAGTCAATTGCTCTGCATTGGTTTGTATATTTTTATATATTAATTACATGTATTGTATATATATTTGCTATATTTTTTATTTTATTTTTACATTCTTCTCTCCATTTTCTACATGAAACTTATTTCTCTACAGCGTCACAGCGTTACTTTTTAACAGGCACATCTTAGCCCTAATAATGGAGTTTTAGTTTTTTGTCTGTTTTTTGGGGTTTTATTTAATAATTTCTGTGCAATAATCCAGAGGTGTGATGTGCATAAATACAATGCACTCATCATATAATATATATACAAAGAGGAAGTTGTGTTTAAATCTTAGTAAAGATGATTAAATGGAATTTATTAAAGTCTAAATTATCTATTTTTTTCTTCTCATTATGATTTACATCTTGTGTGAGACAAAGGCAAACTAGATAAAATTACTGTAAAATTAAAAATTAAAAAATAAATGGAGAGAATAAGATGAACTGCATCTCAAATGGTGCACCAACAAATTATTCTGAGATAATTTAGTGTTTGTTGTGAGTTTAAAAAGCACTCATTGATCCATGTAGTATCAAATTGAAACTACTCATTTCTCTTTTCATGTGGAAAATATCTAAAAACTCTCTCTAAGTCTTTAGATTTTAGTAATATATTCTGTAAATAAAATATAGAGCTTCACCAGCACCACTTAAGGGTCCTTAGAGGCCAGTTTTTAAATGCACATTAAGGTGCATTTCATCAAAAGTCTGGGTTGGCTTAAAGTCCCCCTCCACCCAAAAATACATCTTTCTTCATGTTCCTACAGTGTGAAGTTTGATCTTCACTGTGCAGGATGATGTGTATGCAGAGTCTGACACTAGAAGGATGTTTTTACATACATCTGCTGAAAGTGGAAAGTTTGTGACATCAAATAGTTTGGAAGTCAGTCCTGGTCCAGTATGCAGTTAATACAGTGTGATGTAGAAGCCACCAGTGCACATACATTGAGAATGGACAGTCTAGAGTAGTAAATAGGAGACATCTTGTGTCCAGCACTGTGGCAGGAAAAACATATGAGACACATACTGTGCAGGCAGAGTGTTTGTATGTAGTCCAAATAATACATGTCTGGGGGGGATCTTTAAAAATGAAATTTAACGACACCTCTAATCACCCTTCCAGCCTTGTTTGTCTCATTTTTCTCGACCCACCCTCCCTTTCCCTTCCCTTCATCTCTTCATCCTCTCTCCCCTTCCTCCCTTCCTATTCAATCAGTGCATACCTCTTCCACATCTCATTCTAGGTACCGGGGTGGAAACGCGCCTGAGACCGAACCCCCACACTGAGTCTCCCTCTGCCCAGCCTTCAGCACGTCCTCTCAGAGCAACCTAACAGAAGACATCTTCTCCACCTTCTCCCATTCACATCCACATCAACTCATCCATCCTTAACCTTTAGATTAAATATTGTTGTAAAATACAGAGAGGTTCTTCTCTCTGTATTTTACAACAATATTTATTCATTTATTTAAGAATGCCCGTGATTTTAACAAAACATATCATTTAGTTGAAACCACTATTTGCCAATTCTATGAAAGCATAATAATGCTTTTAGATTTATTTTTGTCAAGTTGTGCTCTACAACTGACTGACACATCGCCCTGTGCTGCTAAATAAATTCTAATTTCCCTAAATAAAGCATTGCGCCACAGATCAGATATCTTCTGCATGGCAGGACTGAATTAACTTACAGTCACAAATCATCGGGGGCCTAATCTCACACCTCGCTGAGCATATGCAGATGGGATCGAACTTGGATCATGAGGAACAGTTGGCTGGACATAATGTTTGGTTATTATTTCCCTTTATCGCATGCTGGGAGAAGAGATCAATAAGTGAGGACACAGCGGCGGCAGAAGGTTGACACTTCATATCAAGTTTTAGTGTCTGGTACTCCAATAAAACAGAGTACATTTTGTTCTTTCAGAGACTTTCTCTACATGTAGTGGGCTCTCAAGGTAATGAAAATGTTGGATGTCACCACAGAAGCTCAGCAGTTCATCACATTTGGTGTTTGGCCTTTGATGGATGTGTGCTATGCATTATGTTTGTTCCTCGGCTGTCATTGAGTTGTGGCCACTTGCTTTTAATCTACCAAGACAGAAGCTACTGTGATAAAGAGGGGGAAACTTTCTGAAAAATTGTACCTTACAGAGAACCTCACGTCACATAGCGTTGCAGAAGTGATGGCTTGAGTGTATTGAGGCGACACATTCTCACTCCGGTAATGAACACCTGCAGTGTCACCATCTGCCACCAGTTTGGTTAAGTTTAGAGTGTTTGAGTTAAAACAAGTTTGTTATATAACTTATAACTTTAAAGGTCCAGTGTGTAATATTTAAATTGATCTACTCGCAGAAATTATGTTTTCATTAGTGTACAATTGCCTGAAAATAACCTTAGAATGAGCCTTTTATATCTACAGACGCCACAGGTCGCCTCCCATGGAGTCCGCCAGGTTGAACCGCCATGTTTCTACAGTAGCCCAGAACGAACAAACCAAACACTGGCTGTAGCTAAGGCCTTTCGCGTTTTTTGGCTACTATCGTGGACACTATAGTTTCCCCCCTTGTTGGAAGGGGAGGGTGAAGCGAGGGAGTGGCCATCTGCAACTACACCACTAGATGCCACTAAATCCTACACACTGGCCCTTTAATGAGTCAGTGTTGACTTTTGGTTTTACACGGGACACAAACCACAGTCTCCTGGGTGAATGTCGTTGCTCATCATATTACATCACCAGACTTCCTAAAGGCTTTCTGGGAGCCTGCTACGTCTCACTGAAGGTTACCTTGTACTTCTGCATGATTTTACCATCATAATAACAGTACTCAGCATTGCCTTCCCACAACGTTGTCTGACCCTGAAAAGCTGGCACCTACATTACCCACTATGCAACTCAACCACCGACAGGCTGGATAGAGTTGGAGATTCTAGTAGCGGTATAAGGCTCTAGTAGAGTATTATCTGCATTTGGGTGCCTGGTTGTCGGTGTGGTGAAGGTGCTACCTGGAGAAGTGCTGCTGCAGTGTCACCATCTGCCGCCCACCCTGCTGAGACTTCGCCCTCTCCCTTCTCTCCACGCCCAGATGTTGTTTGTTCTCCAGCTGGGGATTACTATTATGGATCAGTCTTGGTGGCGTAGCTGCAGGGGGAGAGGAGTAAACACAGTTAGTTTGTTGTTAATCTTGCATGTTATAATCCCAGTGAAGATTTCAAAAGATAACAGTACATCTGTTCAGTTCCCCCCTTTTTTTTCTTTCTATAAAAGGACAGTTTGTCAGCAAGTTTACTTGTTTGGAAAAGATCAGGACCAGCGTGTGTCCTCTCCTCACCTCTCCTCTCTCCACCTCACACACTGTAGTTTTGAATTAACATCGACATCCGTGTTTTCCCCTCAGCTGACAGGTTGTGAGCCACACAAACTCCCTCCTCATGACATTTAAGCAGGGCCTTGGGGTGAACTGTCATTTCGGGAACCAAATACCTGTGTAGCTAAAAAAAAAATCAAGGATGCCCTCATACTGTTTTGGTAGCAAAGGTTCAGCTGTTGTTAATATTATAAAGACTGTATTATCTTGTGGCTATTCCTTTGGGTGTTTACCTGTCTGAATATTACTCAACTGAAAGAGAGCTGTGCTACAAAAGACATTTAATGCTGCTGCAGTCTTTTTTTTTCTTTTGCTGACAATAAATATGAAGTGAACACAATATTTGTGTCGATAATTCTCAGTTTCACTCCTGATAAACCGACGTTAATACAGACTCAGATTCAGCTTTATTGGCCAAGTATTTGTCCACATAAGAGGAATGTTACTCCAGTTTGGAGTTTAAGGCTGCAACTACCGATTATTTTAATAATATTCTTGATAAAATAATTAGTTGTTTGGTCCATAAAATATAATATATATAAAATATAAAATATTTGAGATTTGAGAAGATGAAGTCAGATAACTTGGACATTTCTTCTTAAAAAATTACTCAAAACTGTTAATCAATTACTAAAGTAGTTGGCGATTAATTGAATATTACTATTAGATAAATCGACTAATTGTTGCCACTCTATTTGTATATATAAGAGTTTCCAACTTATCTCTATAAATTCCACAGTACTTGACTTAATGGGAATTTCCCTACAGAAAAGTGAATTTCTTCCGTGTCAGTCTACGGAGGGATGTGAAGAGGTTAGCTGAAGTGCCAATCAAATTGATAATGGTTCCCTGTCCATTTCAGCAATAGTCAGTTTATATTATAGTCTGCTCTGGTAGTAGCCTCCAGCCACAGGTTGGTGAATCACTTTACACTCCATCAGTTCTACTCCACCACGCACTGCTGCAGCGCTGGAACAAAAGCTGTCGAATTACACGAAAGCCTGTGACTAATTCCATATTTATAATTCATGAATTGCACTTGAATAGATTTGTACTCTCTAACGCTTTATAAAAGTCACAGCAACAGATTTAAACCTCCTGTCAGACTGATTATGAATCTGTATCAGTTGGTAATACTCAAACTGTTACTACTACTATCACTATGTATTGAACATGCCCATAGCAGGTAGAGCACAGGTGCAACCAGCATTACCGATGGCTCAGCTCCTTCACAATGTCATAGGAAAGTAACAGTCCTGGAAATAGTAAAACTAAATGTAATGTGGCCACAATTCATGTTATTAATCACACCTGTACGGCATTCCAATATGGTTGCTTTATAGAAGGTCTAAACCTGCTACCATTACTAGTATTGCTGCAACAGTAACAGACTATACAGACTGTTTCAACCAGAATACTTTTCAAAAGAGGAAACATAATGTACACATATGTGAACACATCTCCTGCATAGTCATACACACATAAGCACAATCACACCTCTCTAAAAAGTAATTCAGTCGACTACTTAAATAAATGCATGATTTCAATGTGAAACTTCTAATTTGTTGATTTAGATAAACCTTTTATGTTGCAAACATGATTTTTGTTGACATAAATAATGTGGGAAAAGTAGTTGGAAGTTAATTTTATGAGAAGCTTAATCAACTTAAAAACTTGAGTTTATGCTGCCAATTTTTAAGTGAGCAGTAATTAGAAATACCTTTGATTGTAGAGGAAACTCAATGTAGTACATTTGTTGAACTTAATTTTATTAAGAATTGCCATAACTCAAAAAGAGTGTACATACATGTTGGATGCTGTTGTGTACATAGAATATACTGTACATACATATCTACACATAGGCCTATAGACCTATTGTAGATGTTTCTCTAAACTAAACTTAAAATGCAGATTTGTCTCATCTAACTCTGTTCAAAAGGTCAAAACTGCTCACATTCACAGTGAAGTTACCCAATCAAAGAAAGTAACACAGAAGTCAAGACACCCACAGTTGGCAACGTGTCCCTCTGCTTTGTTTATGCAAGCTGAGACATCGGGGTCATTACAAAAGGTCATTCAATCAGCAGTCAGGATTTTAATAATCATTCATGGCAAAGTCACTGCTGTTGTAATATTGTTCGAAGTAATTGATTGACTAAAAGGTTGCGCTGAATCATTCTTAAAGCCAGGAACATAATCAAAAAAAAACAACAGTAATTTTTAAAGTGCTACTTCACATCTTTTTTCTTTTAATTTTAAAGAGTGTATTATATCTGATTAGAATAGAGGACAGTATTTTCCTCTGTAGATGATGAATCACACAAAGAGAAACAGTAATTCTTTATTAATCTGCATGGTCTCTGAAGCTGTAGGTGTGCAGGATGATGTATTGTTTTTTTTACAGTAAAAATAGAATAGAAACTTTTGTGTCGCAACTTTGAATCAGCGCTGCCATCTAGTGGGGTCTGCAGATTACTACCAGAGTCAGGATGTAGGATTACTAAACAACAGCTGCGGTGCTGTCAAGAATGAACTTTCAGACTCAACTCTGAAACAAACATCAACCGGGCAAAAACTCTGCTGTAGAAGGTTGTGTGAAACTGGAACAATCTGTCTGTCAGTGCTCTCTCTTAAGTCCCTCCTTAAAACATACTTTTCCTGATTTTACTTGAAGTATATTTTATTTCCTAAATGTTTTTCTTGTTTTAAATTGATGATTTTATAATATATATATATACGGTTTTATTTGATTTATTGTGAAGCACTTGTTGGTTTATCATTATTATTATTATTATTATTATTACTTTGCCATAACTTCTGTGAGTCTTTTGGTTTATGAGTTTTGTACATTTGTATGATCATCAAACAGTTTTCACTGGATTAAAAGGATCCAGTGGTATACTAGTTCATCCTATCACATCATATCCTATCATAGCATCAAACTAAAGATAAAATCTGATCCAGTCTCTCATCTTCTGCACACTGTTCTTATCTTCGACTATCTTTACCGTATTCTGTGCATTTATTCCAGTGTTTGTTTCCGCTTTTGCATCATTACAATGCTCAACACAACAATATGACAATATTATTGCTGACAGGCCAAAGCTTTAACAGAGAGGGCAAAAGAGCAGAGAAAAGAAAAAGAGGATACATTTCACACACGATTACACACTATCCCTCAATTACCAATGCTTACGGGAAAATCCATTTGTGATATGAGTTACTTCGATTACTGGAAAAGTAATTTGTCTGAGAAGGCCATAGATCAATAAATCTCAACTGGGTACAATATTGAGAAAAACATCACAACAACATACAGTGTCACAGCCGATTTTCCACAGATACAGTTAAATAATACAGAAGTCTGTCCACCACTTTGTTTTTTAAATTGTCTCATTTAATAGCCACTAAAGCTTATTTATCATATATTTCACATTGCTTCTGTTTTTATTTCTTCATTTGCACCGCAATTTATTTCTTGAGTGCATTTTGATTGATTTTTATTATTATATTTTGTGCTTCATTCATTTACATATTGCCTCTGTAAAACACTATATAAATAAATTACTTACTTACACCACTCTATTGGAGTTCCCTTGTTTAAATAGCATATGAGCATATGGTTTACTGGGACACTTAATGGAGGTCAGTATTACAGACGTTGTTATCTGATCTTCTTTCACCTTATTCTGATACAAAAGGCTAAAAGTAATGCGGAAGTATGTGATTTTAATAAAACATTGTGATTTCATGACTTTCTTAAACATTTTTCTCTGTAGTTAAATTCAGTTGCACTCTATGAATGTCTTAAGTAAGATTTGCTCCTGAGCTGCTGTTAAGATCCTCAAACTGAAATGCTGTTCTTTAAAGATAGAAGGTTTAAATCTGATGGCAACATAAACATATTTCTGTTGAACGCTCCCTTTAAAATGTCTATTTATTTATTTTTTACAGTATAAAAAGAACATTTCAAGCATGAATGTGTTTCTCAGTAGTTGGCCAGTAGATGGAGTTCTTTATTCATTTTCCTCTATGCACCTGCCTCCAAGCCAGATTACACCTCAGATCAGATGTATTGCCTTAGTCAGCTGGATCACATGACGAGTCATGTGACGCTCTCTCCACAAACAACATTGTGTATTTTGGAAGGAAAAATACCACAGCTCATCAGACATGTTAAACAAAAAGTGGTTGTAATTCGTCAAATAGAAACAAATGTAATAGCAATAAAAATGTCTACTCTCGCTTTAAAGGTGCTGAGTCAAAGATGAATTTTTCTGGGTTAGAGGAATTTGTAGGTGTGACATCCTGCATAAAGGAATTTCACAAGTGGCTGCACAGCATTTTTATATGTAATACAAATGCAGTTGCTCTTTTTGTACTGTGAAGCATTTCGTAAAATAGGTGTCTCATTTCTCTCTCTCTCTCTCTCTCCGCTCACAAAATAAAGTGTATTGTGTTCCTGACATTATGCTGCTGATGTGAGACACTTCCATATTATAAATCTGCATTCATTGGGGCGTTCGGAAAACACAAGAATCCCACCTTTAAGTGTACGTTGACATGAACAGTAAACACAAGTTGTGATAGCTATAAGTACAAAGACACCCTTTGGTGGTGTGTTTTCTATAGATCAACCTCTGTGTGTCCCTTGAGGTTGTATGAGAATGTCAAGTACAAATGTACCCTGGAAATACTCCGCTACAATAAGCCGCTGTAAAGGCACAGTATTGTGCGGCAGTGGCCTCGACACTGAAGGGTCTCCATTCTTAGA